AGAGCTGTTGTTTTACATCCGAATTCTGCTGACTGTAAAATTAAATTGTAAAATAGGGCTATTACTGGCCGGTTTTTTCAGCGCCAAGTACCTGCTGTCACGACGCCTGCAAATTTTAAGCAGAATGTCTCCTGCTCCGCACTGACAAACAGTACTGTTAACAGTAGCATCAGCAATGAAAGCGCTGAAGTGTTGAGTGACGAGCCATCATCATCGAATGGATTCTCTGCTGATCCACCAGCACCGTCATCTTCCTCAACCTCTTCTGGTGCGCCACTGAAAAAGCGTCGAAAGCGAACAAATTTACACATGGCGCAGCGCACTGCACTGGACACCTATTTCGATATCAATCCTCGCCCCGATCATGACAGGATGGCTGAAATTGCCGAAATTGTCGGATTAGACAGAGATGTGAGTTTGTTCTTTTGCCACATCACAATTTTACTCCAAGACTGCAGATGCTAAAAAGCTGAAATTTTGAGAATATAGGCGGAAAAAAGGTAAGAGCAAGTGAAAGCTAACTTTTACTAGAAATACAAAAATCAGCTTTCACTTGCTCTTCCTTCTGACAAAGGGCCGCGAAAAATTTGCCTCATATGTAGCATTATGCTACCATGGTCGCTTCATTTCTCACGTCTATACATGTTAATTTACTGCATATAGCTTTAAAAAATGCTTAAACTGTTTTTTTTTAAACATTTTTGGGTAACAACTTGTCGCAGTAATAAGAAAATTTGAAAGTGTTCCGGCTCGTTTTTGGGTTGGAAAAGCTTAACTAGGAAACTGGGTAATATACATACATAACCTGTGCTAGTACAACGGAAGTAAAATCTGAATATATACATGTGCGGTAAAACTCATCTTCCTTTTGCATTCTGAGTGTGTAATCCGGAGTATAAATCGACTACAAACGCTTTCATCAAATGGCTGCTCCGTCATCACAATTTCATCTTTGTGCGGTACACAATTGAAAAGTACGAAAATCAATTTGGATCACCTATCGCCACAACTTGTTTTTGATTTTCCATGCACAAATTCATCATCTATTTCTCTTTAGAATTTCAGGTAGTTCGTGTATGGTTTTGCAATCGACGCCAAAAACTTCGTAAAGAATGAATGAGCAGCTG